CTGCATTGGTTTCAATCTAATAAATGCTACCCGCCCGACAAGCAGTTGGGTATTGATGCATGTATTAGCTCTAGAATTACTACGGGTATCCAAGTAGTAAGGTACTATCGAGTAGACTATAACTGATATAATGAGCCATTCGCAGTTTCACAGTACAAAATTGTTTATACTTAGACATGCATGGCTTAATCTTTGAGACAAGCGTATGACTACTGGCAGGATCAACCAGGTTTATATCCTCCATACTAAAGAAGACGACAAGTCGCCCCCAGCACAAAACAACAACACAGAGGCCAGCCGCAAACAGCCCCGCAACCGCCGAAACAGTCGCTAGGCCACTCGCAGCTTTTCTCAAAGCCGCCATTAATAGCCGAGAATCTTTTTGCACAGAAAGACAAAAATATGATCCTCACTTCAACAGTTCCACCTAAAAATAGGTAGATCAAGAAGCGAATAATAGAGCACGACGCAGCATACTTTGGGTTGTAGTCCCCTCCGCACGCCGCATAACTAGCCCCAGATCAAAAACGGTTCTACCCGAAATTGAAACTTTCCACCGGAAAAATCCAGCGCAAAACGCACCACAGAAGGTATCGCATAATGACACACAATCCGAAAACTGCACGAAACACTATACAACCAACCGCAGCACACCTTCGCACCGGCACCGACAGAGCGTTGATGTAGCACCTCGCAACGTCAGCAAACGCTTCCTCGCATCCAAGCACACACAGTCAGGTCACTATCCCGAAAGCACACACTCGTCAGCAATTCCACATCGCTTTCAGCGCAAAATACCCAGAGCAACGCATAAAATGCGTCAAATAAAGCTTTTATTCTTATGCAGAGCATACGAGTACAACCTCAATTTCTGCACGCGCGAAATAACCCGCTCTAAGTTTCCCCAAAGCAATAATAACGCACGATTTTTAAAGGAATGTCTTAAAGACACGTCTTAGAAACAGCAGAACTATTCCTACAAAGACACATCTAAAAAACCATAAATCGCCAGAGTTCACTCAATCTTATCCTAAAATAAGACCGAGAATCACCCTAAACAGCAAAGTAACGCCTCAAAAACCAACTATAATCTTAGAAACCCACACGCCATTTCCAAAATTACACTCAGTAACCGACTTGTCACCTCACATATACTAGGAAACCGTCACAAGAAAGATACTCGCTTTTGTTTACGTCGTCTTAACAAAAATTCCCGTTAATCTACAGCAGATTGACGGGAATTGAGTACTGCTGACAGTTACAGACTACTCGTTTAACATCTATTTATAGCTGGAAAAGTAACCGCCGCGCCAGCAGCTAGTCAGTATCTTTCAGTTTTGTTAGAACTCAGCAGTCACCCATAAAGTAATTTACATAAATTACCCGTTCTAAGTGCGAGAAGTTATTTTACTAAGTGCGAATAGTGCCTAAGTTCGTATTTTATGGACTAAGTGCGGTATTTTATCATTAAGTTCGCGTTAGAGGACCCCCCAAAATGAACATTTTCTTGCGTCTTGGGAAGAGTATTGTAGAGTGCCCCGTAAAACTTTGTGGTGTTAAGTATGATACTAAAACACACTAACTGCCCTAAGGATTCACGTCGATTTCATTCTAGGAGTCGAGATATGTTATTTTAAGTTTTTGGGATGTCATGGATGCAAATCGTTTGCTACAGGCTCAAGAACGCACTTTTTGTATACCATGTTATTTTAAGAAAATGTCCGTTTCGATGCGCTCTTCAAAAATGTTCGACTTGCGAACCATGATTTTCTGCGTCTGTGCCACGTAATTCAGCAAAAAGAGCATGTAATGGAGTGAAATGAGAGGGTGTGTCATCTCTAAAGTAAAATCTTTAAAAGAGCATAACTTAAGAACGCCTGGGAATAGGTGGCCGTTCTTTTTACCATCATGTGCGCCTAAAAAAAGTACACTATCGTGACAATCGATATCGGTCGATATGGTATAAATTGATAAAGTTATGCTCGATTATGTACGCGAAAACAGAAAAAGGGCGCTGGTGACAAAAAAAGTACTAACGATTCTGTTATTGTTTTGATATTCTGTCATCCCAGACTCTTGCGCATCTGGTGACCTATTTTTTATTCGCCAGTTCCGAGAAAAGTGTCGTTTCGATGCGTGGTGGGCCCGGGATGACAATTCGAGTTGAGTTGGAAGTTCATGTGAAGTCCTGGAAACAAGAAAAAAAGAAGATCCACGCTTCCCTAACTCAAAAAGTCATTAGAAACCGAGGGTAGCTTGTATGGAGACTTTTGTTCCTCGTGCGCTAAAACGCCGAATTAAATTTTTTATCTATACTTAACAGGAAAAAAGTTGCCTCCTTCGCGATATATAGGCAAATAAAGAATGGGTGCTATCATTTCGGGACAAAACAGGTGAAAATTTAGGTCGAAAAAAGTGTTTATAGACAAGGCATTTGAATTTAGCCAAAATCTGACTTGACCACGGGAATGCGCGCATAAAAGCACCCCTAGGGCAGTTTTTATACGGAGCAGTCTCATTTGCTTCCTGGATGTGCAGGGCCAAACATGGCCAAAAGTGGTGATTTTGGCCGTCCAAGGTGTCCATTTTCCGCGAAAATGGCGTTTTTTGGCGTCACTAAAAAAATCATTGCGAAGCAACTACTGGAGATATGCTTGTAAAACTTTGGGAGCGGTCGTGCGAACACATGCGCCAAGTTTTCTGCTAAAGTCTGCAGGCCAGATCTGCCGGGCGGCACATATAAACGGGGAAAAAACCACCTAAAAAAAGAGCATGCCAAACAAA